CAGTGGCAAGAAGGCTGCCGGGCTGCAGTTCCTGAGCATGGAAGTCGCGATTCAGAACCAGCAAGGAGACACAACTGAAACCTTCACTGAGGCCTACCCGAAGAGTGCGCTTTCAGAATACAAACTGAGCTTTACTACTTCGATGAAGGTGACCCACAGAGGGATTCCTGTGTAGAGATTTCAAGTTGCATTCAGGAGCCCGTTGGCTTTTGCTGAAAAGGTGGCATTGCACGGCTTGCTTGACAAGCGTTCAAAATCGCAATTGCTAGTTTTTGGAAATGTGTAGAGCATGCCATGGTGTTTCTGTTTTTGGCATCTGCGTTTGTGTTCACGTTGGCCTTGCTGATGACCAGAAACAAGGCCTAGAACAGGCATGGTGTACCTGTCATTTTTGGACCCTTGTGTCCCCACAGCATGGCCAGCACTTGCACAGACACCATAAATCAGTGATTGAGGACAAACTTTCTGGAGTTGGCAAAGTGGTGCAAGAAGATCCAAGCCGTCAGCAGACCAATCTTTGAAGAGATTACTGTGCTTTGCCACTGCTGAATCCCGACATCTTCTTCCCATGTTTTGGATTTTGTCCCTGCAATCTTTTCTGTGATGGGCTGTTTTAGGTGAGCTTCAATGTCTCAACGAAATCCTCCAAAGTGCCCATCGCCCCACAGCAGGCATTTGTGCTGTTGACCTCAAAAGCAACAGGGTCCGTGGCATATTTTGTTGCCCACGGCACACCAGAGCTGCTGATGGCCTCTGTGGGTACTTCAGACTTGCACGTTCAGACTGGCGGTCAGGTACGGATTGTACTTTGGTGGTCTTTGCCTCTTGATGGGATTGACATGCACTCAAGTTCCGAACGCAACCACATTGTTGTTCTATTTGAAAGCCAAAACACGAGTGCAGCCATGCTGCAAGTGTGATGCATGAAGGCATGCCTCATTACACAACACGCAAGAATGCATCAGGGAATGCACCCTGCCATTAGATTTTGTGTTTCAGAACTGTATCCTATATGAAACAATTTGATGACAAACACTTGGGATAGTGAACAGCTCCCAACAGCATCCAAATGGCACAAGTGCATCTATCTATCATATGATGACACATGTAGTCAAGGCGGATATATGCCATTGTTCAGGACACACTCCATATCCTTGGCAGGGATGCTGTTCATGACAATAAAGTGCTGTGTGGTGCACGGGGTTCTGTGGCATTTCCCATGCAGACTGACAGATCGCGGAACTATGACGATGGGGAGCATAAAGCCTTGGTCAGCATCTGCTAGGCAACAGTTACCAGCAGAGCAAATGTGTCAATGCTTGTTTGTGTTATTTGCTGTTGACAAGCTGCATTTAATGATACTTCCTAATGCACAGGGGGGGATCTTCAATGTCGACATATTGATTGGGGACCCTTCTGCAGCCGGAGGCGTGTTGTGGAACCTTGGCACAGTGGATGTGTTCCAGGCACTGACATCATCAGGGGCGGGTTCTGGTGGCTACCTGCCACCCCGCTATCTGCATAAGCCCTCCAAGAAGATTGAAATTGAACACATTCATGTGAGCGTTCACATACAGCCAAGCTCTTTTATTTGACCACTATGGTCAAGCTTGCACCAACTTGTTGCTCATGAATTGTCTGTGCATGTCCCAACTGCATGCATTCTTGCGTGAACCGTTTCACTACTCTTGCCTCTCTACCTTGTCAAGGAAGCTGCTGTTAATCAGGCTGCCGGGAGGTTGTATTCTTAAAATCATTGTGTATCTGTCGTGGTGTGTCTGCTGGTGACTCCACAGTTTGGATTCTCATCCTGGAGCTGGGGGCCCATTTGTCTGTGTTTGCCTGGGGTTGCATAAAGTATCTTTTGCTTGCAACATGTCCATGAACAACCACGGTTAAGATCGACTCACAGCTTCTTTGATGGCCCTCCTTTGTAACTGTTGTTGTTCCAGCACTGGCATGGCAGGGCTGTTGGTTGTTGTCGTCACGCAAATTTTACAGAATATCAACACGAGAGTGTGTACCTCCATCCTGTGCCTGTTGATCCTCGAGTTTTTTGGCAGCATTGAAGCCCATTCCCTGCATGGAGTCAAATGGTTTGATTCCAGCATGACGTATTTTCTACAGAACATATTTTTAGATCAGCAGTGATGCCCAACCAACAGACCGCAAGGCAGACTGTGAATCCCCTATAGAAAACTTAGTGCCAATGCTGCACTTTGGCACTGTAACCAATGGCCGTTCGACCCAGTGCCCAACTCATGTTGCCATTTGACAAAGGACCTGACATCAGCACATTGCAGCAGGGTTCACACTATAGAGCATAGGGAGTTCAAGGCAAGGTTTCATGCAACCCAATCACTCACTCCAGGCCACCTGATTGATCACCGTAAATTATTCAACCCTTCTGCGTCAGAAAATTTCACTGTTAAGCTTTTTGCTCTGTTTTTTTTCCAGAGTGTTGTTTTAATTTGTTTGCATTGCTCTGCAAGAAAAGGCCAAGCGCTGCATTACTATTTATGAATTCTCTCTGCAAAAAAGGCCAAGTATTACTGTACTATGAGGAGTGGTTGAACATTGTGTGATATGTGTGATGCAGAGGATCCCGGACAAACGACCTGCTCCCATCATCCCGGTTGTTTTCACAGGAATGGTTATGCTACCACTTGGTGCGCTCCTGACAGCACTCGTGGGCCTGCGACTCAATGTGAAGGTGCGTTCAGGTCCATGGCTGTTGTTCACTTCAAGATGGCTCATTTGCAAGCACTGGGGTGCCGGAAGCACCCAAAGAACTTTCCGCAGTCTCATGTCGTGGCAGTGGATCCTGGCAGTGCTGGTTCTTCACCTTTCAAACTATGATTATTGCATTTGTAAAGAAGAACTGGCAAAGAATGCTCCTGCACCTAAAGGGTTGTAACAGGTTGAGAAGCTTCCAGGTTGTGTTGTGTTCATTTTGGGTGGGAAGGATGCCCCTGGCCTGTTCCAAGACACACATGTCAGTTGTTGTGTCCACAGCACTATGAGCAAAATGCCCCATATGGTCACATATCATGAGATCAGAGTGTTGATCCACTGGTCCTTGGCCTGGCAGCCACTAGGAATACCGATTATTTCAGATTCAGGTGGAGGTGCCCATGTACACAGTCTTCACCTTTCATATCTGTACACTGGAGCAGCAGCTGACAACAGTGTGCAGCTCTATACTTGCGGATCTATATTTTGCCTGGTAGCTTGTCGTCTGTGAAGGAATGCTTTGTGTGCTTGTACTGTGGTGCCTGAGCAGACCATATAACGAAGCTGTGTGGTCACTGAGGCTCAACAAGCAGCAGGGACAGGTCCCTGTTGCTATGCTATTCAGAACGAGATAGCATATTGCCCTCTGGTCCACAGTCCCATGCCTGGTGTTGACGTGCGCGGCCGTTGGTGGTTTCCGCCACAGCGACCCGGGCATCGGGGGCCGCTAGATGCCAAGAGCAGTCCAAAGACTCCCACATTGCGGCTGGGGCTGCTCCACATTTTCATGGAACTGTTGCTTTTTGTTGTTGTTCCCCATAAAATGGCCAATCGTGACGTTGCTATGTGGAAGGGTATAATATACTACCATAATCATATCCATACTGGCAGCATAACAATTAATGGTTGTTATGGCAGGCACCTCTGCATGCACACCATGTGTCACAATGTGTGTGACATTGCATGAGCATTCACCGGGAAATTCCCGTATAGCTGGAAACGCCTTCACTACCCCAGGGTAGTACCTTGTAGAAGCAAAGTCTGATGATGCTGCCTGTGACCCTGTGATGTTCCAAGCTGGCCACCCCTGTGCTAGATTCCCACTGCATGTGCGGCTGTTTGCCATTTTTGTCATGTTTTTGCCACCTCTTGACAGAATTGCTCAAAAGTTTTAATTCTGTGCCAATTTTCTGCCAACAGGGTTTCCCCAGTGGTGCAGGCTCTGTCTGGGCCACACTCTTCCACACAGGCATCGCCGCTGTTCTGGTGCTGTACATCGTCTTCTGGCTGCAGCTGAACCTCCTGCGGATCATCCCCGCCCTCGCCGTGCTCAGCCTGTTTTGCATCATTACTGGCCACAAGGCGCTGTCTGCAGTCATGGCAATGAGATTGAAGAAAGATTGACGCGAGCTTGGGGCTCAAAAGAGAGAATGGAAACGACAAAACACAAAAGCTACAAAGGGGGTGGTGGGCTGATGGCCTACACTTTCCGTTGCAAGCATCAGTCAGCCTGGGCTGCAAGGGGAGGAGGTCGCCCTGTCGGGTGGCATTGGGGCGTGATTGTGGGCAGAGCCACATTTTCTTGTTTTGCTCTGTAGGGTGGAATGAATGATTCTGGCCCTTTCGTCATGCTGGCATTGAACTTTCCTGTGTTGGTGAAATGGCTTTGCGGTGGAGTCTGGAGCAGGATGTGAGGGATCCGAGCCCGATGGGACGTCCCTGCGTTGTGCATGTGGTTTGTTGTGACAGGGAGGGAAGAGAACCGACGGTGCAAGCATGTGATGCAAAAAGCATAGAAACAGGCTATCGCCAGTGTGAGCACATAGAGACTGCATGCGTACGCGAAATCCAAACAGAGGTGTGGCTCATCGCAACTTGCAGGTTATTGTGAAGAAAATAGAGAAGATGGGGGAGGGATCGGCTGGCAGTGGTGGCTGCCGTTGCTGCTGGCCTCGGCCTTCATGCGCTCAAAGAGGGGTGTGACAGGGCCACAGATTGCAGCACCAGGGGGGCCAGCAGGCTGCCCAGAGCCAACCCTCGTTTTTCCGGGTAGAAATAGTTTTTTGGTGGGACCGGTGGCCCAGAAGCTCTCCTTGCCAATATGACCTTTTAAAACGCAGAAGTACGTAGCCGTGCTTGCCGCCTGCAATGGAGCGACTCCATCAACGGCTCTGCTGCCAGTAGGCTGCAGAGTCCAACCCGTTTGCTGGAAAAGACAATGATGTGACTGGATTGCAACGCAATTGGCCAGCGAACTGCTTGTCTGCAGTGCACACATCTGCAACCTTGAAACTCGTTATGCCTGTAGTGCTGTACGCTTTGTGGATTGGCTTATCGATGGGGCAAAGCGTTAGAGCGGATCGTTGTGCCGCCACACACAGCGCCGCTGAGCCTGATGTGTTTGGCATGAAGTTAGAATCGCACACCTTCCACCTGGCCGCAGCGCCCAGAATGCGGCGTAGCCTTCTCAAGCGCATACTCCCACATTTAATTTGACAGATCCTGGCTGTTGCCGAAGAAATGCCTCTCCCCTTCTGCTTGCCTCCAAAGAATCGGAAACGCCCCCACGACTCCCTACTTGGGACACAGTTGGATTCGTCTAACTTGAGCGCTCAAGTCGCTCGAGCGGACTGCATAGTTGAAGCCATGCATTGGCAATATTGCCAATGCATCATTTATTAGTAGTATTAATTAATATTAATATTATTATTCAGTATTAATACAGCATTGCAACCATGTGCTGCATACAACATGCCCGTTGGCATCCCCCTCCACCGGGGTCACCACCTCCCCAAATACACAAGTAGAATACTTTTTGCAACCACGTCAATGGTGTGCTCATATGCATATTCGCCGGGCAACGGAACTACTGTTTTCATTGGCGCGTGGAAGTGGACCGGCATCTGCTTGCCATGCAAAACTGCACCAAGGGAAAACAATTGACCCGTTCTCGTTTTGTGTGAAGTCGCCTTATTATAAGAAAATCGAATTGGAGGTCCAGCAACCCCATTCAATGCATCAACATAACGTGGCGTTCCTGCGTCGTGAGGTTTCGGAAGCACATTCCTTGCATTCTGTCAGCAACACACCCAAGATTCCATGATTCAATATTCTCAAGCGAATTACATCATTAGTTGCCGTGCAATGCCTCAGCAGCAGCACTTCCTCCGATGGCATGCAGTTTGCAACCTGCCACGGAATCTGCCCGGCGGTGGTCAACATGCACATGCCGCGTTGACCCATCGCCCTCATGCTTCACCGTTGCTTAAACACAGCCTGGGCGCTGCAGACCTCCACTGTGCGCAAAATGAAGCTCCGAGGCGCTCGAGTGGTCCTGAGAGGGCTGGGGGCCTGCCGGCGCTCGATCAACAAGTGCTTCGACAGCTGCCTCCGCCTGAGCAGTTGGCCGTGTGAAGAAGTGGGAAGAGGAGCTCACCGCCGTGGTGAAGGAAGCGGATGTCACCCCTCCAGCGAAGGACGAGACCGCGGCGCGCGATGGGTGGCCACCCCAATCGACCGGCCGCATTTTAAGATGGCTATGTTCGGATAGGGTTTTGCAGATTTCTCCTCTTGTATCGTGGGGCAGTCCAGTGTGGTCAAGCCTGACCCATCCCTGGGCCCACTGCAGCCAGAAGATCATTTTTGCGATGTCTTTTCCCAATGCGTTAGAGCAGTTTAAGCGCAATGTGTGTTCTGCTGTCGGAAACGCATCGACGCATAGCTGCATAGCTCCATGGAAAGTGCGGCTATGTGAAATATGTGCAAAGTCAACAAGGTGGCTGCACCTCAGATTTCATGACACTCATAGCCGTGCTCTTCAATAAATACACTTTTTAAGGTTATTGCGGCGGTGATTCTGCGACATGTAATTACAATCGGCGATGGCGGAGACATTCCAAATTGTAGGTTCACATGGACACAACAATTGTCTATCTGCGCATCATGCTTACCATAGAAGCATGCCCATCGGCCAGTACGATATCGTACTGAAATCGATGGGCAATCGATGGGCCTTCTATTTATGAGACCCCGTAGAAACTTTCGTGTGAATCCATATTGAGGCTGGCATCCGCAACACAAATCGCCCAAAACTGCACAAGCAATTCAAAGCTGAAGCCAATCATTGAAAAACAACCCGATAAGCTACGCAAGGCTAACAGGACTGTTTTCTTCCTACTCTAGAGTAGGAAAATTCACCTCAAAGAACAGATCTGTTCTTTTGGAAGTCGCGATATGAGCTGAATTCGTTGTGCTCAAACATTTTGCAAGATATTTCTAGACATGAGATAATGATCCATAGAAAGAAGCGTGTCTGGCTTGAGGTCAAATTGACGTCATGCGCAAAATATCGCTGCTGCAATAGAATTCGAATTGAGCAACAGGAAGGCCCTAATGTCTTGAATGTAATTTTCGTGATATAGGGCGATTGGGGTATATTGCCTGCTGAATGTACTAAATTTGAATGCAATATGCCAAGAAACGACACTCACTGCCCTTCACATTTTCTGGCACTTTGTTTGGGATCAGCTACAATCGACGTTGCAGTCATGTAAGTTGCATGATGTAACCGTCAGTGACACATAATAAATTTCAACAACTCAAAACTGCAGTATGATGCAAGTGCATCAAAGAATCGATCAGAACACACAGTTGGTAATACGAATGCACCTGAAACCTGTGTTGGAGTTGATCAAAAGTCAGCGATGCAACCGCAAGATCTTGAGGCCTCTAGAATTCGCTAAATGGTTTGGTGAGACGAAAGACTCTGGCAAGAGGGAAGTCTGAAACTTATGGTGCTATAAATTCTGAATTGCACGAAAAAGACAGTGGTGACTTTTTGTTTGCAACCATATGCAATATAGCAATATTTCATATATGTGTGCAAAAAATCCCTTTTAGTTTTGCAAATGCAGCCTGTTTTCATCTGCTTAAGACCTCACTTTCATCCAGCTTGTATTTACAACTTGTATATTGTAAAATTGCCAACTGTATTTAAATTTGACACACATTCATCCAGTTGTCGTCCTTAAGAAAATTGGACAAAACCTGAATCTGAAAAGCTTGCCATCTTCCCAGAAAGAATTTTCAAACAAAGAAACAATAGAATTTTAGGTAAATGGATGCAAATATTCCCAAAATAAGCTCTGGATACTAAGATGCAGGAAGTCTAAATTTAGCAGAATGTCTCAAAGAAACCTGCTCAAACAGGAAGGCAGCACCGAATTTAAACCTCAATAGACCAATGCAAAACTATTTTAACTATTTTTTAACAAGCAACTTAAGGATGGATGGGCTCCATTCCAAAGTTTGTGTAGGCGATGGGATTGCAGGGTCCATCTGCCTGCCGGTGCATGGGCACCAATTACTGGCGAATTGTTTGCGCTTACAGGCCTCTGCGCTGGCTCGGATTTCCCAGTGCCGCCGATTCACTAGCAATACCCTTTCCGCTGCTGCAGGGAGCATCATGGATCCCAGTTGAAGAGGCGGATTTCCATCATGAAAAGACTAGGTCTAATTTCTCCGTGGTGGAGCCGGTTGTTGCATCACATGCGCAACAACTTTTGTGTTGATGCTCGGCAATGAGATGAAATGAATGCACGGTTTTTACGCATTCCTTTGGGTAGGCATGTATAGCAATACATGCAAGCAAGCGCAGAGCCAAGATCATAATTTGGCAGAATCTCGGGGTGGTAAATGTAATATATCAACTACAACTGTAAATCCAAAAGTGTACCCCGAATTTTCTACCCAATTTCCGATGGGCATTGCATTTGCCTAATGAGAATTTCGGTTGGGTGAGTTGCGTGGGCGGGGTTTGGATGGACTTTGAGATGGTGCTGAAGGGGTTGAAGGTGCGTTTGGTGTTTGGGGTCCATTAGCCATTAATACATTTGGAACATAATTAAATCATGTTGGGACCTCCACAAAAGTTGAGGGATTTGATTATTGATTCTGACTTACGAAAAATTAGGGTAATGGCACAAAATTCTGCCTTTGCAAATTACAGATGCATGTGCAAAATTTTAAATTGCATCACATGTTATTTTGTAAATTCCATTCATAAGCCACCGTTGATTGGTGACATGAATTCAAACAAAACAATTGGTTTTAGGAAACGAACCTGAAATTCAATACAAGTTGAGGCCCATCAACAATAACCACATCCAGCTGATAGCTATTAGGAGTATCCATAGTTCAAATTCATACGAATTTGCTAAACTACGCGTATAACATACTGGCCATGCTAAATGCATCTTGTTCGTAGTTTAGGAGGCGGTGAGGATCGACAGATTGGAGGATCTTAAGGCTCCTCTCAAGAGGGCAATCAGGATGAAGCGCTGGGCGGTATTGCTCCTCCAAGTCTCCATATAGATGGGGCTTCTCATGTTGAGCATTGGTGGCAT